GTTGCTCATGGTGGGGTGGGTGCACTGTTCTTCTCCCCCCCATTTCTTCCTCTGGCTGAGTCATAAGGTGGGGGGGGACTTAGCTTCCTTCTTGATTCTCCCCAGTCCATGCTCTGGCTAGCTCCTGCATATGCTTTTTCTACCTAACACCTTTTCCTTTGGCCTTCTCTGCTTACCTCTGTTTCATCCTTTCCAGGAAAATCTGATCGCTCCTTCTCCACCTCCACATCTAGGTAAGGCGTCCCATAGTGTTCTTGTATAACTTTACCATAGCTAGATGGCTGTATCAGTTGTTCTTTAGATGCAGTCTGGGATCTTAGGTCCCAGACCCCTTAGGACTCCTTAGATCCCCCAAGTCCTTTTGAGTACTCTGAGAGTTAAGTACTGTTTTGTGTGTCTGTTCTTTAAACTACACTATATAAAAAAATCTCATTTTGCAAAATTAGGGGTAGGCTTACTATACCACAAAAGGAGTAACAATCCTAATAAAATTTCTAGCACAGCTAAATCTCTCCTAGGGATTGCTCCAAACATCACAGTCAGTTGTTTACATTCTTAAACTCTAGCATTCATCTTCCCTTTTTAAGAGTTAGATCCTGGAGGAACGTTTGCTTCATGGGGCTGTACATTTCATCACAATTTAAAAATCTGAACCTGAATATAGTTTTCTTTGTTAATCTCTCAGGAAGACTGCTCCTTTAAATGCACATTCATAGCTTTTCCAGATCACTTGCAGCTACTTTACCAATATCTGATTGTCTTCTATATAATTTTAAGCTTTTTGCTTAGAATCTACACATACTGCTCAGGGTATTTCTTTAGTGTACAGAAGTTTGCTCCTTCCTGATCACTTCAGAATAGTAACATGCAGTGTAAACCACACTTCTTCATTAAAGCTACCTCTGTGTGCTGTGTGAGTGAGCTAACTTGCTTCAGAAATACCCATTCTAGTAGATTGTGCATAAGTCTCTCCTTATCCTTGGGATGGTGGGAAGCTTTGGTTAGCACTAAACTCTCTATGGTTGAGCATCTCTAAATTGAGAGTCTAAAATTCATAGTGCTTCAAAATCTAAAGCTTTTCAAATGTGGGCATAATACCACAAGTGGAAAATTCTGCACCTCATGTCATGTAATGGATGGGTCATAGTAAAAAAAAAGATACTAAAAATGTTGAGTAAAATTACCTCAGGCTATCTATTTAAGGTATATATGAAACATAAGTGAATTTCACATCCAGACTTGTGTCCCATCCCCAAGATAATTTATTATAGACAAACATTTCAAAATTTGAAAAAACAGGAAATCCAAAGCCTCTAATCTCAAGAATTGTTGATAAGAATAGTATTTTTTCTTATACTGTATATATTTTTCCTATATGTAGATATATATGCAACTGTCTTTCTCATTACTGAGACTGTGTACAAAGATTTTTTTGTTATATATACACATATATACATACACATCTGTCTTTCTTACTGCTGAGACACAATATCTCACACCCACAAGTCTGAGAAGGGTTTATTTTGGCTCACAGACTAACCCCAAGGCAGGGTGTCATGGCAGAGGAGAATTGCTTCAGTGTATGACAAGCAGGCCACAGAGAGTGATTAAGGGAGAAGGGAAGGAGGCAGACCCTTCCAGGTCAAGTCCCCTGTGACTGACTTCCTTTAACCGGGCTTCACCAGCCCACATCACATTCAGCTGTGAGTACATGAGGCTGTAGGGGAGTATCCAGGTACTGACTATAGTAGCCTATAATTAAGTTATAAATTAGGTGTAGTAGGAGATTAACAGTCACAAATTTAGAACAATTCTATGTTGTAAAACTGTGGTTTCTTTTACTCTACTGTACTTACACTTCTGATGATGGTGTGAGATGCTGTTGATGCTGCAGTGATGAGATGAAGTGAGAAGCACAGCATGCATGGAGCAGCGCAGCTCTGCGGAAACAGTTGATCGTACAACCAGGTCGGAGTAACGGACTAATGGGCATTTACTGAGTAGTCATTCTGGACAAGAGGATGATTTACATCCTTGGTGAGATGGAGTATGGTGATGTTGGATTTGATCATTCTATTTAGAATGATAATTTTAAAATTTAGGAATTACTTGTTTCTGGGATTTTTCATTTAATATTTTTAGACTGTGGTTGATTATCTATCGGTAATTGACCTTGGAAATGAAACGATTGATAAAGGGGGAACTATTATACCTCCAGGAAACTATTCCTCACTGCTTCCTTTCTTGGTAACCTTGCAGCTTTCTGTTCAGACTTGTGTGTCTGTCTCTCTTACTAGCCTACAGAGAAAGGAGTCCAGTATATCAAGTTTCACATCTTGTCCTGCTTCTTATTGTGTGATTTTTTTTTTTTTTCTTCCCTTTAGCTTTCAAAGTACTTGGTCTCAGGTCAGTTACTGTATATAGATCCCTCTGTGTACAGATTACCCTACATAAGGTGCATCTTCTAAAGTGGAAAATCCTTCATTAGAATCTCTTGCTTCCTGTTGGCAGTAATGGATGATTGTTTTAGGTCTCTGTGGTTAAGAATTCAGGAGTCTTCCCAAGTTACATGTATCATTTCTGATTTACTCAGGTTTTTAATAGAAAGAATGTCCACACTTGTTGTGAGGCTCTCAGAGGGATCCAGGCTAAAAAAATAAAAAATCACTGGCCTACAGTACAAAGGCTATTGAAGTACTGGAAAATGCCAAACTCCAGGTAGTTCTCTAAAACATCATTTGCTCTTGATTGAATGCCAGCTGTTTTCTAAGCTTATAGTTCCCTCATTCAGTTAACTCACAGTATGACGGTGTGAGTGATCTTTTCCCCTTCCCTGCCCTCCCCTCCCCTCCCCTCGCCTCCCCTCGCCTCCCCTCGCCTCCCCTCGCCTCCCCTCTCTTCTCCTCTCCTCTTCTCTCCTCAGTACTGGGGATTGAACCCAGGGCGTTTGTGCTGAGCTACACATCACCAGACTTTTATTTTTTAGTTGAGACAAGGTTTCGCTAAAGCACTGAGTTGCCCGCACTAGGCTTTAACTTGTGATCTGTCTGCGTTCCCCTCTCAGAGTGCTAGACTACTTGCCACCACACCTCACAATGCTTGCTTTTGAGGAAACTGACTGTCATGTCTGAATTTAGGTCTGGGTTTCTCTAGGCTTCTTTTAGAATTCTTCTTTACACGTGGTTTCTCACTTGAACGTAGACATATGCCTTTCTCATTGGGCTATTTTAATTGTTTAATGAGATGACATGTTTGGAGCAGTGTCAGTAAATGATGCTAGTTCTTGTTTATTTGACCACTCCTTCCCTCTTTTTCACCAAGAGTGTGAGCTGTGTGAAACACAGCTTGTTTCACTATGATCCTGAATAGGATGAATTGATGGAGAAGTTCAGGAGAAACTTAAAGTTCAGGTTCTTCTTAAATTCTGGAAAGCACAGAAGGGGAATAAATGTTTTCAAAGTGTAAATTGTGTCCTTTACAGTAGAGCCATTTATTGTGTCTCTGTGATCAGAATTAGACTTTAATAGTGTTTGGCAAGTTCCATGCTAGCTGCCAACTGAAACTGTTCCCTGGCGTAGTGTAGCCATTTTTGTTTCACCTTAGGAGGAGTACTAGAGGAAAAGATTGGCATGTGCCGAAGTGTCTTTAAAACAATCTTGAAATGCTAGAATTGCACTCATCAAGCAAGTCTAGATGCTTATCTGTAAAGGGTTGCCAGGTGATCAAGGAATAGCAGGGTAACATCTTGTCAGCATTACATGCTGTGAAGGAAACTCATAGAGAAGACCCGTGAGATCTTGTACTTTTAAATTTTTTTTCTTTTTTAGTTTGGAGGTGAGAAGTAGAATCATTTAGCTTTTGTAATTGAGCTTGAATAAATTAAATATGAATGAATGTGAGAGTTCATAGTGTTTGCTTTACTTCAAAAGTTCTTGGAGAGATTAGAACAGAGGGGACATGGGCAGGGTCCTGGAGGGTCTGGTGAAGGATCTGAAGGGTCTGCTTCGGCAGGTTTCTGTGGGCACCAAGAGCCCCCTGGCCTTCCTTCTCCAAAGCCAAGAGCAGGCGCACAGCCTTGCCGGCCTGGGCTGTCGTGACTATTGTTTTTGGCCTTGGGTGTTTCATTTCTCTCTTTCCATATCTCCTAATTTGTTAATTTAGAAATTGGTACATTTATTTATTAACTTTATATAGAGCTTAAGTTGTATATTCAATACCATCTTTTGAAATTCTTTAGTTTATCAAGGCCCACTTAGATTTCCTTTCTGAGAACTGAGTTTTATTTGTGAAGGAAGTTATGTTATTTCTTATATATAACATTTATTCTGGTGCTTAGACTATTAAAGTTGTTAATAAGTTTGTGGCCTCATTTATTGAAACAATGTTTATCAAACAGCAGGCTTCACTGTGTGTATGTAGAATTGAGAGTCTCCTTTTTTGCACTTTATTCAATGGTAGTATATTATCTGATAATGTTTTAAATTTCTGTACTATGTTTTGGAATTTTTAACTTTTTAATATTCATCTAATTGCTTATCAAAGTAATGTTGCTATAGTATAAAGAAGCCATGTGTGTTGGTGATTAGGAGCCTGGTTCCTGAATCTGAAAGACCTGGAACTGAGTCCCTTCAGCATCACTCTCCAGAGCAGCGCTCTCCAGGGTGGCAGTCCCTGGCCGCCTGCCAAGTGTAACTTGTTAAGCACTTGAAATGTGGCTAGGTTTTTAACCAGATTTTAGATTGAATTTAATTGTGTTGAGATCTAGTTATCTTAACATCTCTATGTTCTAGTTTTCCTATTGTATAGATGACATTTTACATAAAATACTTTCAGGGTTGTGTGAAGAATTAAACAGGTATACTTGCATCATTTAATACTATGCCTGGAGAAGAATATATTCTGAAGAAATGATAGCTATAATGACATACATTTAATAAACTGAAATAATTATTTTTCTCTTGAGGATTAATTTAAACTTGTTTCTTTTTATTTCTTTGCAGGATTAATTTATTTTTGGAAACTAAGTGCAATATTAAAAAGAAAATAAATCACAGTACATTATTGGAAGCCATTTCTACTGATTTTATTACATTTTAAAATTTATGATTTGATTTGAATACTATCATGGGAGGAGCTGTGAGTGCTGGGGAAGATAATGACGACTTAATTGATAATCTTAAAGAAGCTCAGTATATCCGCACTGAAAGAGTGGAGCAAGCTTTCAGAGCGATTGATCGAGGCGATTACTATTTGGAAGGCTACAGAGACAATGCTTACAAAGACTTAGCCTGGAAGCATGGAAACATACACTTATCAGCACCTTGCATTTATTCTGAAGTTATGGAAGCACTGAAACTTCAACCAGGATTATCTTTTCTTAACCTGGGAAGTGGAACCGGATATTTAAGTACAATGGTGGGCTTAATTTTAGGTAATTTTATTTTTGTAAAATTCTATTTTAAAGTAAGCCGAGTTTGTATTATTCTAAGCAATTTACAGGGCTTGTAACTTTGTGTATGATATGTTTGGAATGTATATACTGAAGTAATTATCTTAAATGTGGAAGCACAAAGTAGTAATTTTTTGATTCATGAAAGTCTTGCACAATTGCAGACTTACAGTAGCTCTTGGAACTGTTCTCCAATTCACAGTCATTGGCTGTACTTAAAACAAGCCGGTGGTAGGCAGGAAACTGGAGTATTTTAGCAATTTCAGGTGAAATGTTCTTTCTGCTGACATACAAGTTTGTCTCATTTTATTTTATTTTATTTGTTTATTTTTGGTACCCAGGATTGAACTCACAACCTTGCCCTTGCCAGGCAGGCACTTGTGCCACTGAACTAAATTCCCAGCCTGTCTCAAATGGAGAATTGCACCTTTATTAAAAAAAGAAAGAAGGAAAGAAAGAAAGAAAAGCAAGCAAGCTTTACTAGCATATGGGGGTATAGTACTGGTAAGGCAAAGCAAGAGGTTGGAGAAAAATGTAGCGAAGTTTATGTTCATTAAGAATTCAGCCTACTGTCTTGGCATGGTGATGTGTGCCTATAATCCCAGCACTCTGGGAAATTGAAGTAGAAAGATCACAAGTTCAGTCCCAGCCTAGGAAATTCAGCAAGACTGTGTCAAAGAATAAAACAGCGACATGGAGATATGGCTCAGTGCAACGGCCTTGGGTTCCAGCCCCATTTCTTAGGGAAAGGGTTTAGGGGCTCTGCATGAATAGTCAAAGTTTTTTCTTCTAGATGTTTGTGAGCTGAGCACAGAGGAGTGATCAAAAGAAAAAAGTTTCTTTCCTCAAGTAGCTTACTGAATGTTTACACGAAGTGCTAGGCCTTGTTTAAGGCACAGTGTCTGTAATAACTCATTTGGTCACCATCAGTGTGTTCGGTTATATAACTGAGCAACCAAACTAGGACACAGGTTAAATAATTTACCCGAAATCCCATAACTAGGAAATGGCAGCTGGCAGTACACATGGGAAACATGGTTGAAGGGAAATTTTTTATGTTAGAAAGACAGTGGTGGTGAACCTTTTAGTGCTTAAGTGATATGGTCATCCGCAGTGGCGTGCATGCCATAGGTTTGTCACCACTGATGAAGACGACGTGTTGGCTGGAGGGTGAATAATAGTGACATTAAGCTGTTTGGCCCAGGCTTCTGGGTGGCGAGTGTTACGCAGAGCATCAAGGTGCCCTTTGTGGGGGATGCGCTGCCCTTAGCCACTGTGACAGGTGCTCGAGTTGGGTACATGCCCACGGTACAGGGGTGAGATTGCGGTCCCATTCCAAAGTGATGGGCAGTCACCGAGGGTGTTAGCCAGGTAATGACATGTCCTGTAGGAGGATGACTATGTGTCCTTACGTGGACAGTAAATTACGAGTTCACAGCTTGTCACTTCCTTTCCTGTAGATTGGCGAGATGTCTCACTCCCTTAGTCATGAAACTTACAGTCTGTTTCATTTCTCCAAAGGATAGGGGCATGGGCTTATATTATACAACTAGGTTAATTCCTGATACCTAAGAACTGCTCAAAACTTATAGAAAATTATTAATTTTTTATTGAAAAATTTAGAATCTTACATTTACATTTAATGTTTTTTTTGCCTCACTGAGGTGAGAATTTTTCAGCAGGTTGAAACTTCCAGATATCTATCACACAGTCATCAGAGACTTGTTGGAAACGGAGTTTCTGGGATTTGAAACCACCACAGGTTGAATGAGTGGGCTGAGTAGGGAGCATTTCTGCCTTTAACAGTGGGAGTTGCAACTGGCCCAGTGGCACACGTCTTTAATCTCAGCAGTGAGGGATGTGGGGCAGTGTCACAGATTCGAGTCTTGTGTGGGCATTTTCATGAGATTCTGTTCAGAGTCTGAAAAGCGAGTGAGGGGTATATGTCAGAGCTAGAGTGCCCCTCAGTTTAATCCTCATTGCAACTGTCTCTCACCCCTAAAGAAGTTGCTGTCCTTAAACTTTGTATACACTATTCTGACCACTTTGGCTACTAGAGGTAGAGTTCAGGCCTTGGTCCCAGAGTATCTGTTTGTCCTGTCTTCCACCCCTGCCGTCTGGCTCTTGATGAGAGGACCCTCTATTCAAAGGTGGGGTGAGGGATATGTGTGTGATAATCGTCAACAATCTTGCTAGCAATGAAGTCGTTGCCTTGGACTCCACCTGCAGTCCCCAAGGGATTATAGATACCTATGGCCAGATGCACTTGTGAAGAGACCTCAGACTTTGTTGTCCAAACTTGATTTTCTTTTGATCCATAACCAGAGAATAATGTGTGGGGATACAGCCTCTTATATAAAGGGAACATTATGCACTAAGTGTTTTCCATGTTGCAAGGCTTGTGGGAGCCAAGGGTCTAATTACATAGAAGAAGATGACTCCTGTATACTGTTCCAAGGTGTGTGTGTGCACCTGTGTACTTAGACCAACTTGTAATTGTTTTCCGTTTGATGAGAACTTCTTCTTTGGTGAGAAAAGTAAAAACACTATAAGGAAAAATCAGGCAAGACCTAGCCTATAAAGCTGATTTTGTAGCTAATCTTGAATCCACCAGACTTCTGAGGAAGCTTCTTACCTTCCTTGTCCATTTTAGGTTTGTTTTCCATGTGTGTTTAGGGTCAAAGAGGGTACAGAACACATGGATAAAAGTCCCCTAGAACTAGAAGGAAAGAAAGATGCTACGTGCACCCTGTAATTATCTGAGCACAGTGAATCGCAGTTGGCTGGACTGCTTTGCAGTGATCTTATTAACAAGTTTGAGCACCAGAGCGCTATTGAGTCTCTTTCTCCAGGCCCAAGATGAGGACGTAGGTGTCATAGGTTGTGGGTCCCATCTGAGGGTGCCCTCAGTATTGCTTTGGTGCAGTCTGGGCTGGATCAGGGAGAATGGGTTTAGCTGGTTCTGAAATACAGTTCAGGGAGATGCTTGTAGAGCTAGGAATTCCCTTCTTTTCAGAAGCAGAGATGTAGATGATGAGTTATAATCAGCTCTGGTTCAGTGAAAATCAGTTAGTTTTTCTCCAGGAAATTTTTATGATTAAAATGCACTAGAAGCAGTTATTCATAAATTTCATTTTATCCCAGACATAGAGAATGGATCAGCCTAACTTTTAGTCTCTCAGTGAGACATACTTAGTTTCAAATTGAAGACAATTTGTTTTGCTCACTTCTCAAGTGTCTTCTCAGAATTAAGAATTTTCATGAAAAATCTAGTACGTAATTGATTCTCCTCACAGTGCTTCTCCTTCTTACAGACTTCTAATGAAAAGCAGGGTAAAAGAAAGGAGGCTTCATAGCCACGCATCTCTGCTTCCTAGAACCGAATTAAATGTCAGAACTGTAAAAGCAAGTTGTTCTGATATACCTGATTTAGGTAAGAATGATTCTTCTCCAGTGAGCTCCTGTTTGTATAGCAATTCATTCCCTTCTTCTCTTATATGATCCATAATATAGAAGTTACACGTTTGTTAAAAATCCGTAATATAGATTCATCCCACTTTGAGTGTTTTAGTCACTTGCCTAATGCCTTAGTTACTAAGAGTGACTCTATGAAGACACTTTAAAGTCATTCCCACACTGTGGATGCCACTGCCTTGGTACTGCCACGTTCATCTTAAGAGGGAAGTAGGTGACAAACAGGAAATTTACCAAAACTGCCGAATTATTCTGTTTGCTTTCTATATTGTTTCTCTTTACCACAAGACATTGATCCTTATTGGTAGTCTGCGTTGCCTTTGACCTCAGGTACTCATACTTTCTGTTTTGCCTTTATGTGCATGTGTGCATGCTCACAATCTACTCCTCAAATCCATCCCCTTTTGTAGTATTAGGAATCATGTGTCAGGCAAGTGCACTATCACTTAGCTGCACCCCAGTCCTTCTCACGCTTATTTACATAGTATGGCACACTTATTTACATTTATGTAGTATTACACTTACTTACATTTATTTATTTACATTTACTTATTACATTTACTTATTTACATTGTATTTACGTTACTTATTTACATTTACTTATTTACATTTACATAGTATAAAGTTTTAAAGTGTACAGTTCAGTGCTTTTTAGTAAATTTGTGCAGTTACGCAAACATTACCACAATCCAGTTTGAAAGCACTTCTCTTCTGTGTCTATAGATTTGTCTTTCGGGCTTTTGAAGTAAATGAAACAATATGTAGTCTTGAGTCTAGGTTCTTTGATTTAGCTGTATTTTCAAGGTTCTTCCATGCTGTAATATGTAGGAGGACTTTATTCCTTTTTATGACTAATATTCTATTGAACAGATATTTCAGAGTTTGTGTATCTGTTCATTAGCTGTGGACATTTGATTTAACAGTTTTTGGCTATGAGGAATAATGCTACTGTGAACATTCACGTATAAGGCTTTGTGTGAGTATGTTTTCTGTCTCTTAGATGGATCCCCAAGCGTGGAATTCTTGGACTGCATGTAAATTTATGTTTAGTTTTTAAGATACGTCAAAGGGTTTCACAGCGGCTGCACTGGTTTTACACCCTTATCAGCACTGTATGAAGTTTCAGTTCCTCCGTGTGCGCCTGCCAGCTCCCCTCCACCGTGGTAGGTAAGCACACACTCTGGTCCTTGAGCCGTAGCCGAGCTGTTCATGGTGTAATGGCCATCTGAGGGAGTGTGAATTGTTAGCTCACTGCAGTTTTAATTTGGCACTTTAATAATTGGTGTGTATAGCATCTGTTTGTGTCTTATCAGCCATGTGTGTAACTTCTGCAGTGGCATGTCTGTTAGTTAGCTTTCTTTCGTTATGGCACAATACCTCAGTCACAACCTAGAGGAGGAAGGGTTTATTTTGGCTTATGATTCCTGAGGTTTTAGACCGAGGTTGGTTTGTTCTGTTGTTTCTTGGCCCATGCGTGAGGCGGACTGTCATGGTGGAGAAAGCGGTGGCCAGAATGAAGGAAAGAGTGGAGAATACCTGCCAGAGAGAGACCCTGTGGATGGTGCCACTGCCATTTAGGGAGGGTCTCCCCCCGAGTTGGTGGTGCCGTTTGCCTGTTGTCTCTGGAAGGAGTTTCACAGACACATCCCAAGTGTACTTACTGATGTCCTGAACATTTCTGAAATCAGTCAAATTAACCATCGAGTTATCATGCAGATTTTTAAATTGGGTTGTTTATATCCTTATTGTGTGTGTGTGTGTGTGTGTGTGTGTGTGTGTGTGTGTGTGTGTGAGAGACAGGGTCTAGCTGTGTATGTAGTTCAGATGGGCTTTGAACTCATTTTTAGCCTAGGCTGGCCTCAAACTCCGAGTAATCCTCCTACCTGAGCCTCCTGAGTGCTGGGATTACAAGTGTGTGCTACCCTGCCAGCATGTGTATTTTATTACAAAGCAACATAGAATAATGAAAAAATTAAGTAGTAAGAGTTTTTAAAATTGATTTGTTTTATTTTCTTATACTAGTAGAAGTATGACAAAATACTTCTATGAAAATTGCTGTAAATGATATTCTGAGTGTCTTGAGTTTTTATCTTCAGTATAAACCTCTCCCCACCTGGATCATTTATATAATAGAGTATTACTATTTTATAGTTCTTTATTTCTGTGTTTGTTAAAATCTATTTATAGTCCTTTAATCAGTATCACACTTACTCTTTATCATTTGCAGACCTATAGAGGAGCAAAAAGTTTTGCTTGCTGTGCATGTTCCTTGCTGAGGGGGGACAGAAGCTGAGCTCTCTCACCTGTCTCAACTGTCAGACTGAGGGATGGTGGTTGGAGACCCAAAGGACCAGGTAGTGCTTGAAGGTCCACATAACCCTGGGCCTCCTCACCGTGGCTTGGATCCTGAATATGGATGGCACCAGTTAGTCCTTGGGAAAGCTTCAGGCAAATCAGTAACTTAAGTTCATGCTTTCTTTTAAAAAGTAAATAAATGAGTTTAGGATTTGGGATTGTAACGTGTGGTATATGTCCGGATGTGTGTCACTGCAGAGGGTCCCAGGAGGTTCCCACGGCAGGGTAAGGAACTTAAGTGAGGAAAGTGGCTCCATCCTCAGGACCATCAAAGCAAAACTGTCTCTGAGTGAAGTTTTATTAGAGGAGATGAACTGTACCTTGGCACTCACTTGATACGAAACCTAATAAAAGAATGACAAGGAAAATCCTCTATTTTATATTTTATACAAACTTAAAATGTTGAGTCTCTACCTCAGTCCTCCTGCAAGACAAAATTTTCAGTGAATTTTTTTCTCCTGTGTTTGCTTTTTTTTTTTTTTTTTTCTTAATTACTAAAGGCAAAAACTTGAGCACTGGTCTCTTTTATTTTGTGGGAGAGGTCAAAATCCAAAAATCCAAAATTACCAAAAGATGTACTTTGAAATATCCTCCTTTTCCACATCCATGTTCTCATGTTGTCCTACTCCATTTCCACAGTACACTGCAGTTTTTCATAATTCATGGTGAATGTTTATATGGATAATAATAAATGCAACGTATTTATTTAATTTGTTCTAATAGATTTCTATCAAACAGCCAAAAATAAATTAATTTTGAGCACCATGTATTTATTCATGAGATTTATTTCTGTGGAATGCCTTATCCACTAATATCAGATAAAATAATTTTGACATACATTATTTTTCCAATATATTTTAAAATTAAAATTTGAAAAATATTCCTTTTATGTACTTTGTTTATATCATTTGCTACTGAACTGTGGACTTTGTAAATTCGACACCATAGATGAATTTATATATTTTACTATTTATTTCTTTAAAATATTTAGACATTATGCCAGCTGCTAAGAGTACAGCCATGTATAAGATATGTTCCTTACCATTTAAATTGTGTATGATCCTCATGAAATAGCAATGGAAACTTAGTGTTGCTCTTACCCACTGTTCATTTAGCTCAGTAAATTATTCACTGAATATGTGACTGTCACTCTGCTGGCTCTGAATGTCTTCAGGTACTTAAAAAATAAATACACAGTGGAATAAAGAATCCAGTGAAAATGGCTTTGTGGGAAAATAATTTCATTGGAAAGAATTTGGATTGAGATCTGAAGTGAGGTGAATGACCTTTTAAAACTATTCTCTCTTCTAATTGGACAAATTTATTCTCAGTTTACTGACTTTTCTTTGGTAATAAAGTTAATCTCTTCCAGGGTACATATGAGGTATAGTCCTGAGTTGCTATGGATATAGGAAGTATGGCAGTTAGCACCCCCTTAGATATGTAAATGAGCTTTTATGACATCTGTTAATTGATATTTTGACAAGTTTTTATACAAGGCTTTGAGTCCATTTTCAGATCTTGTTTAAATGTGTTTCTGAGATTCACGTGTAACCCAAAGAAGTGGCACTTTTATGTCTATAGAGGAGACTGAATGGTTGCAGCTTGTTTTGGTAAACAGAACTTGTTTTATGAGGCCTTTCCGAAACCTAAGGAGCAGGGAACCGGTCTCTAATTTTGTTAGCTTCATAATAGTTCAGCTGACATGTCAAGATTGAGAAGCTTTGACAGCGTTCATTTTTAATATGCTTTTCCAGTGTTGCATAGGATGTAAAATTTTAAAAGTCAAAAAATTTTAAATAGCAGCATATAAAGGCAGTTTCTCTAGTCATCAAGTTAGTGCTTACTTGAACATTTGCTAATTCTGTTTTTTCCCTTTTCATTTATCTACCTTTGCAGTATTTTATGTCTCATTGCAGGCTGTTCACTGCGAAAAAGAGAGAAACCTAGTCTTGTCTGTTTACCTGTTATCATCCCTAATCACATCTGATCACTTACACATTTTCTCAAACCTGATTTTATACGAGTAGAATCTGTAATAAAATATTGCTGAAAGATGTTCTTGGGTGTATTTTAATCTCACTGACAGCATGTTAGGTTCACAGAAACCAGATAACTGGTTCATCTGCTCCCCCTTGTGGTAGACACTCAGGATTAGCCCAAAAAGCTTTTGTTTATAGATTTTAAAACCTCTATTACTCTCTAGTGAGAAGAGACAGAGATTTGGATAATCTGAAGTATATTTTAAGAATAATTTAGATTGGACTCTGGGTGACAGTTGGCAGGATGTGACTTAACGCTGCTGAGTCCAGGTACATGCTCAGATTACCTGCATGACTGGGCGCCCCAGGTGCTGTCCAGAGAGTCTGTCTGCCTGTCCGGGGTGGGATCAGACATCTACAGTTATGTTCAGGTCAAATTTAATCTGCTTTATAACTTTAATTTGAAGATTTACAGGTTATTTTAATATGCAATCAGGATTATACTCTCTTCTACAACCAAACATTTAGGGAGGGCATATCAAGATCTCTAATGATAGTTTGTTACCTTCCTGGTACTTAGCACTGTATAGAGCACTTTTACATAGTTTATATATTGTGTATTATATAATTATTGCGTGTTATATAAAAGGGATTCCTTTTATATAGTAAGCAGTCTTTAAAGCAGTAACTGAATGATCTTAGATTACACAATAGTTGAGAGGAAAAACAAGGGTTGCAAATCAAGACCTCTGATTTTAAATCTTTTTCACACACCAGTGTTTCGGCCTCAGAGTCCTCAGCTGAAATGAGAGATCTTGAATTGTTTCATGACTGGAGTTCTAGTTGTGTATGGTGAAGTGCTTTTTGCCTATGGCTTCATTCTGTGAATGAGTTTTGCACAAATGAGCTGAGGACGTAGCTGTGTTCAGCTTTAGTGTGAAGCGCGCAGGTTTCCTGGGTCTCTGTCAGGCAGGGCTGTCTCCAGCTGTGCCACGTTGCCAAGCAGTTGACTGTAGCATGAGACTGATGTAGATGTAAATGAGAAATAGGATTATTGCATAAACAGTTGGTATCTAAACCTAATAATTATTGACCTTTATGTGTCCAGCTTTGGCTAACTGAGTAGTTGGTAGATAAATCAGGTTTGTTAGATCCCATTACTACACAAAAAGCAGTCTTTAGACACTATATTGGAATTTTGTTCTTTGTTATAATAAATGGGCCTTTCCATTATTTTATGATTATTTCTAGTATTTTATAAGATACCCAGGTATTTATTAATAAATATTTGTTTTAATAAACTTTGATTCTGTATAGATTTCTTCTATTTTCAATGTTTATTCAGCTGTTAAAAATGTTAGGTAACATAGCATTTTCTATTTTTGAAAACCCATGCTATAAAAATTAAGTTTATGTCATAGAAAAATCTTTCATAACATTGAAATCCGTAAATAAAAAATCAAATTTATGCTTTATCTGACCTGTTAATGACATCTTTTAAGTACTGTTTCAGTTCTTCCACTGATAACTTGCACTTTTCTGTTAGATATCTACAGTATTACTTGTTTATTTGGACATTTATGCTCTTACTCATTTTTCATTTCTTTCACTATTTTTTCGATTGAAAAAATTATACATGTACAGTTAAAGCATACTTCTGGCAAAAGCCTGTAATGATGAAAATGTTCATCTCTATCCCAAACCTTTCAGTTCCCTTTCTCGCAAGCAGCTATGTATACTTTCTCTGTTCCTGTGTCTTATTTCCTTTTTGTTTAATAACGTATCAAATCAGAATTGTAATAAACAATATTGCACTACATTTTATATACATTTGATGTTTTCTAGTTTTATGTCATTCTAAATAAATGAGATTAGTGACATTTAATTCTGCCTTTTATTAATATATCTTTTCAGTGTTAATTTTAGACAAATAATGATAAGGATATGCCTCCATGTTACTTTAAAATTAAGCAGTTTCATCTATTTTATAAACATACATGGTTTTTTACTCTAGATATTAGTTATTTTACATATGCATGTTTGTGAAACAAATCTTATATGTTAATGAAATTATGTCTTATTTTTAACCATCTTGTGTCAAGGTTGATATAAAAAGAAATTATTGTGAAAAAATATCAAGACATTTTTGTACATTTAAACCTTACTTTTTTGTGTGTGTGTTTTTCGTTTTTACGGGTACCAGGGATTGAACTCACAACTGCCTGCTTGGAAGGCAGGCACTTACGCTGCTGAGCTAAATCCCCAGCTCTAAACCTTACATTTAAAAACTACTATTTTGTTTCTAAGAAGTAAAAAGAGCCAGTGGTATCTTTAATAAGGAATAACTGTAGTTCCTTTTCCTGTTAACTCTGAAATTCATACTTCTTTTAATAAGATAATCAGAAATGAGTAGAACTCGATTTCTTCGCGCCTGTTTACTGACTTTCTGCCTTAGGTCTTATGGGAAGTACAGAATACCAGTGGTGTTGATCTTTTTTTGTTGATCTCTTCCTTACGCAGCCCTAATCCTTTTTCCTAAAAATGGTTAAATAGTATAACTAGATTCTTAATGAATACTGATAATAGAAAAGTTTTTGTTAAGTTTTACATTCAGTGTGCCGACTTAAAAAGTAAAAGGAAAGTTTGATTCACTTTATAAAATAGTTTTGTCTCATGTTCATATTGTTAAGTCATTGAACCTTTGGTTGTGTTTTGTTTGTTTGTTTGTTTTTGTTTTGGTGATACTGGTGCTTTACGAGGCAATATCCCTAGTTATTTTTTTCATTTTGAGGCAGGGTGTTCTAGTTTGCCCACACTAGCCTCAAATGTGTGTTCCTCCTGCCTCACCTCTCCAACATCCCAGATTGCAAGCATGAGTTGTCATGCTTGAATTTGAATTTTTTAGTGAGGAATACTACTTTACTTGGTTTTTCCTAATATTCTGTGTGTTGACCGTTATGGAAATACAAGTTCTCCAGGTATACAGATTCAATACTGTATTTTAAAAGTGATATGCCTGTGTATACTTTTCTAAGTTAAATTGTTTGGCACTTTTTTGGGGGTGGTGGTGGTGGTATTGGTACATGTACTAAGGTAAGTGCTGTGCCACTGAGTTTGGCACTTTTTAAAAAAGATTAAATTTTGGTTTTACTCAGTTTATAGTAATAATAAGCAGTTGTATGAGATTTTAAATGATTCTTGGATTCATGTTCCAGCTTTTAAATGAAGTCTTTACCAGTTCAAATGATCCCCAACAAGGAAGCAAAGCATTAAGATTGCCTCAGTTCATTTTTAAAAATATAAAAGCATTGCAAAGGAAGTTTATTTTCTTTGTTGTGATTTGCCAAATCAAGTACTTTTTAATTTAATCTAACTTTCTAAATACATTTTTCAAGTAGAATTAGTTTCTTTTTTTTTTTTTTAACACTAAACTCAGGAGTACTGTCATCCATTTGAATCCCAGTACTCTGTGGGAAGCTAATGATTCAAAAATTCAAGCCCAGCCTGGGCAACTTAGTGAGACCCTGCATGAGACCCCCCACCCCGCCTCAGTTGCCCAGTACTCAATGCCCAGTACTGCCACAAAGCGGATAGAATGGGATAGCGGCAGAGGTTAAGCACTATCCTTACGTGTTTTTGGCATGAAGATTGTCTCAACATTTTGGTTAAATTTTTATGTTTTGGGTTTTTCCAAGGTCACAAATCACATGCAAACATGATTATTTAGGACTGTTTTTTTGTTGTTGCTTTTGTTAACTTCAAAGTGCTTCATGGTGAGAACTCCAATATGTGCTGTATTTCTAATGACATTCACTAGGGGCACCTCCAGGTAGAAACACATTTCCTAAAAATACAGAAAATAAACTTTATTAGGAGACCAATCTCAAATTATAGTAAAAATTTAATGTCAAGTAGAAAATTTGACTGGCTCAGATTCAGAAGTGGAAGAGGAACTAACATGAGTAGATGAGACTGTTCCTTTCTTGTTGGTCATGAGCAGAATGTGCCTATACATTCTCAGTGAGCTAGTGTCAGAGTAGGGCAAGCTGCCTGCCTTCATTTACGGAAAAAAAGTGGGTACATGAGAGAGCCCTCTTCTCTACACCATTTCCTGGGAGGTCATGCCATCTGTAGTGATGTGGAGAAAGAAAGGGTGAAGTATACTGGAATGTGAGAGTCAGATGAACTCCGGACACATTCCGCTGGATCCTGGATCCAGAAGGCACATAGTGGAGTCTTCACCTGCAGACAGTCAGCATTTACATACTGGAAGTGGGGCTATTCTGAGACTTAATGTGGTCTGTGTCAGCTCATGATTTCAGGTATCAGAATTTCTAATTAGGACAAATGATAAACTAATAATAGTGAAGAACTTCAAGTGGATAAAAATGATCCTTCTGTACTGTGCATGTTGAGCCCTTGAAGTCCCGTGAAGGTTTAGCCTTATGCACACCAGGATTTTTTTTCAGTAGAAAAATCAGGGGGACTTTTGATTGATCTTTTCTTTATTAATGTGGATTGCTTCCGTTTACCTTTCAAATGTGTGGTCAGCAAGCGATGACATGTTTCCAGCTCTCTTTAAATGTTCCTGTGATAGATAAATGAACAGAAATTAAGAGAGCTCTGTAAAGGCATATTATTAATGTTTTTATAAAAATGCTACTACAATTGCAGGTCCTTTTGGAATAAATCATGGAATTGAACTTCATTCAGATGTGGTGGAATATGCCAAGGAAAAGCTGGAGAGTTTCATCAAAAATAGTGATAGCTTTGATAAGTAAGTATTCTATCTTTAGTTTTGCTTTGAAAGCACTTGATTGGTATGTGTGATAGTTTTGTTCTTGAACAGTGTTAGTTTATTACTTGTTGATCCTCACTTGCTCAATTGAATGTAGCCAAAATTAGTGTATTATAAAATGAGAAAAACTTAGCAAAATTGCTCAATTTTGTTCCATATAATTTTACAGTAAATTATAAATAAAATTTAATAATTTCATGCCTTTGTCAATTGTTAGTAAAGTTCTGTTCATTAAATATACAAGTAGCTTTTCTGGTGATAAACCATCAAGTTGCTTGTGGTTACAGAATTTTCCTGGACCTGGTTTTACAGCTTTTGGATAGTAATTTATATTATTCTGTTTGCAACATAATTATGGTACCTATTAGCTTTCAAGGGTCTTTCTTTAAAATATTCAGGTACTTTGTTTTATGTCCTGATGAAATTATCGTGGAATACATCGATGCATCATATAATAGGTTTGTGTTCGTGGAATTTACAAAACTATTGTTTTGAACTTACTCTGTCTTTGAAGTGTTGTCCAGGCTTTGGTCCGTGAGTTGGCAGGGAGTCTTACTTGGTGTGTAATCTTAGAAAATTCTCCCCTGATGGTACTGTGAAACAAGGGCTTTTGTGCTAATGCCCAAGAACTGTAGAACTATGGAAAATTTGGAGGGCTTTGACATGTTTCATTTTTTTGCATCACTTGTCATGTTTTTAGAGAGAAAAAAAAAGCCTTAGGATAGAAAACAAAAGAGTAGTTACTTTACATAGCAAAGTTTTAATGCAAAAGCATGGTTTCAGCTTGACTTGCAGGCCTGGGCCCTAATCCATCTTCAGCCCCTAGCACAACTGATCATCAGTGTGAGAGATTTGGGGAGACTGGGTCAGAACTGGGAGTTCCCTTTAGAGAGAATTGGCCTGGAGGACCCTGTCAAAAGAGGGGCCCAGAGGGTTCTGTGAATGTCTTCAGGGGAGTGTGTTTTTTTTCCTTCTCCGTTTGCCTTTCTTCCTTCCCCTTGCATTCATTCTTGCTGCCATTGCTAGTGTGTGTATAGTGACTTTTGAACAGAGAACTAACGTGCTGCAGAAAGTCTTTAGTACTGGAGGGAAGGCAAGGTCTCAGATCTCGAGTACCTGTGGTGTGATTGCAGTTGGGTTATTAAAGATCTCAGGCAGACTTGGGGAGTTAGAAATACTCAGATTTAATGTTTTTACAATTAACTCTAGATTTAAGCAAGTCACTTCAACTTCATCTTTACACTTCCTTGTAAATAATTAATATCTGATTTGCAGTCTCAATCATTTTTCAATTGCTTACTGTGTTGGTTCATATTTTATTTCACAAAAATACATTTAACAGAAATGAAAATGTTTAGCCTGTTTTATTTCATAAAAAAATTGTGTGTCATTTTGTATTCTTTTGTGTCTCATTTTCATCTTGTGATTACAATTATTATGTAGTTATTGGGACTATAAAATTTTTAAAATTCTTTGAATTCTCATTAGTTGTATGTTTTGATATTAAAATTAGCACACACATAAGGGCTTTTAAAATATATTTAAAGTTAAAAATTAAAAACTGTTAGTAAATTCAAATGTGTAAGAGAATTCAGTTTTGGGCCATTGGGTAGAAAAGACTTTAGGAAAAACTTTGAATCACTGAAGCAACTCTGTTCAAGTTTATTGCTGACAAGTGGTTCTAAGAAACAGAATGATTTGCGTCCTTTTTTCCTTGATGTAATTTAAATATTAATTCATAGCACAGGTAATTTTGAAAGTTACATATGAATGTTTCTAAACTTAAAAATTGTTTTCATATAATTATAAAGTGATAAAATTTCTTTGACTTTGTGTTTCTTGAGTTTTGCTTTTACTGTGTTATATAGGTTCATTATTCATAAAATAATGATTCATAAAATACAGTGATTTGATTGATGTAAACGGTTCTCAAAAGTTTAATGTTTGTGTTGTTTTAGTTATAGTTAGTTAGATCTTATAATATGTCTTATTTTTAACACTTCTTTTCCTTCTAAAACAACCTGTTTTGGAAACATTCTTAACCTAATCTGAAGAAGCTAATTCAGGAAATTTTATTCTTGTTTTTAAATCAGTGTCCTGAAATATTGACGTAAAAAATGTTATATTAAAAAAGTGCATTATATACAAAGAATAGCAGGAATAGGAAAGTAGTTGAGTAGTTGGAAATACTTAAAGTTGTTGGTTATACAGCTGACTCATTTTCTAATTATTTTTAATAATTCGTTTTAGAAATTGAAATTATAAAGACACGGTAGTTTTCTTTTTGTCCTGCTTGTGTTTGCATGAATTTACAGTTTTCTTGATGTTTGGGGATAATACTCATACTTATTTTCAATTTTTAAAAAGTTTAAAAACTTGACTCTGTAAGCTGGGTGAAGTGGCAGGTGCCTGTAGGTTCTCCCTGCAGTCCAAGAGACTGACGTGGGAGAATCACGAGTATGAGCCCATCCTGGGCAATTTAGCGAGACCCTGGCTTAAAGCAAAATTAGAGGGAAGGTGCTGAGGATCGGACTCTAAATGAAGGCTCTGAGATCAGTCCTCAGTGCTGCAAAACAAAGCAACCAGGTGACTTGCTGTGCTAAGAGGTTCTAGAAATTATCTTTCCAAGCAGTATTAATGTATTTATTACAGGTCATTAAAATTTGTTATTTTAATTAACAAAATGTAAAATAACTGAGGAAAATGAATTATTACTCCTGTTTTTGTATCAGATTATCCTTAATTATATTTAACATGGAGAGAATAGGTAAAGTTTAATACTCTACCAGTATTTATCCTGTTAGTTTGGATCTTTATCACTCCCTTGATAAAAAGAATTGTATACCTCATGATTGAAACCTATGTTGCTAAAATTTTCTAATGTGCATTTATTGCATATTGGAGTGAACTTCCTAATACAATAGATTGGGTAGGATAGAGTCTATAATCAACACTGGAATATATAAGATTATTTCGTGAAAAATACAAATGAGTGTTTGGGGCATATACAAAGCTTCAATCTTATGTGTTGAAAACATTATTTCTCCTTTAGATAAAGAAATTATTGTATGTACTTTTAAACTCTCTATGTCCTAGTCCTGTGTTAGCAAATTTAACTATTCTTCATTTACTCTGCTTGGACCTGGAGAAAAGAGCTCTTAATTATGGATTTAGTCTTGATATCTGTGGTGTTCCCAGATTTACAATAGTCATCTGATTTCAAGAGTTCTCTAAAAAATTTACAAACCTTTCCCACAAACTGCCAGGTAATAAATCTTTCAGGCTTTGTGAAGTGCTCTTTTAAAGCCATTGGTTTTTGTCTTTCAAGTAAAGAAGTAAGAAAATGAAAGAATATGAGAGTGTTACACTAATACTTCACTCACAAAACAAGGTGCAGATGGGTCTCGGCCTGCTGTCATCTGTTTGCTGATCTGGGTTGTACTCTTTACATGCACTGTCCAAAACACTCTTTTTAACAGTTTATTTTGATCTAAAAAAGTCTTCAGGCCTTATTTGCCAGGAGTGAAGAGGATCCAAGGTTATCTGGTTTTGGTAAGGGAAGAGAAAGGTTGGAAAAAGTCAGATTATACAAATTAGCATTTGTGAGGACAGCAGTAACATGCAAAGTGTTCTTTCCCACTGTAGTTATTTGGGAAGAGTGTATCACTTAAAGGAGTCTGCATGTGAACTCTCGCCCTGTAAATACTTTGAAAATGAGTTGGTATTGGCTGAACGTTTACTTGCAGCTGTATGTATCTATATTGGTATGTTTACACATATGCCCTTGACGAGATCTCCTATGCATGCTTCAGAGAGTGCCATGTCTTGATTGGTAGTTCCTATCCCCCCTCCTTCCAAGGTGGCTTTTGCTTGGAAAACACTGTGGTTAGCAACCAAATGAGTGCCGTATATTTTGACTTATTAGAGGTTTCCAGTCCATGTGAATATAAAAGGTTGGTGTTGCTTTATAGGTGACCACTTAAATAAGGCATATGAGTAATGAAAACAGCAGGGAGATGATAAGCAGTATCTAATATGCATTGTTTCATAATTTTAGAGACCATATTAATATGTACATCTCCAAGATGTTGGAAAACCTAAGGTTGGAGAGGCTATAACCTGTGCTAGGAAGCTTTTTTTAGTTCTGATTTGGCTATGATGATGTAAAAATTAATTTACTATGATATTTCAATCAGTAAGCTGTTATCGATGAATTACAGCCTAGTAACTCAGCATCAGTTATAAAATTTGAAAGAAAACTTTTATATTTATCATTTCCTTCAGGTTAGAATTGCAAAATGTTGTTAATATTAAATGCACTGTAGTATTCACATTAATTCTGTTCATTACAAAGACCTATGACTTGAATTTTTATTAGGCATGAGGAAGACAGAAGCAATTCCTTCTTCATATTTGCTATGCTTAAAAGCTTGTAGTTAGGTATGGCAGCATCAGTATTCTAATTTTTAAGTTACAGGTTCATTTTCAACATGACTTGTTTGAAAAATAAATGCTTTTATGTTTAGTCAACTTCTATCACTACAGTAATTTACTTTTAAATTTTAAAGAGAATTAAGGCATAAGTGAAGTAATTGTACTATTATGATTCACTATACATTCATTTCTCATATATTTGTATAATTTAATATTAATTATGTTCAGAAGTAGTTTTATAAGAATTATTTCAAGTTGTGAACACATTTTTTAATAATGAAAAATAAGCATTGAAACTGGAGACCCTTCAAAATACTGATCAGGGTCATCACTTACATACATTAGCATTCATTAAGAATGACATGGGAAAAAGTTAAAACACATTTCTATTGTTTAAATACACAAAGGATCATCTTTATAATGCTTACATATCACAGTTTCTGTTAAGTATTTAGAGATTGTTTTTGTTCCTGTGGATTTCTTTAAGGCTTTATTCAATGAAAAATCCCTGTATAATTCACCACCAACACTTTGCTTTAGATAAT